TACTGGTATAATAACATAGTAATAACTACATAGTACTGGTATAATAACATAGTAATAACTACATAGTACTGGTATAATAACATAGTAATAACTACAGAGTACTGGTATAACATAGTAATGACTACAGAGTACTGGTATAATTACAGGATTCATCAGTCGGGATCTGAACGTCTGGTCCTCAGGCTGAATTCATGTTAGTTAGTGAAGTCTCACACACACACACACACACACACACACACACTTGTCACACAGGTCGTGTGTCACTTCAGATGTTTATCTTGTCTCTAGAGAACGTGGCAAATTAATTTAATGAGGCCATTAACTCACCATCTACAGCGGAGATGACATCAATCAGCCAATCAGTGCTTGGCTGATTTTCAGGACACACACAGTAAAGTTTTTGATGACACCGACCGACTCTCACAAATACTTGACAGGACGAGAAATACTAGGATTCTTTTTTTTTTTTTTAAATGATTCAAGTTTCATGCTTGACACTGAGAGAACGTTTCCAGGTGATGAGTCCCTCGTCAACGTGGATTAATAGCATTTCTGAAACTGAAGCTTTGGTTATCTGAAGAAACGTCCCGGTGACGGTTATTATCCCTGAACCTCGTTTGTTTCTCTGCAGGTCAACAAGACGGAAGACAAATCCCTGGAGGAACGAGGACGCATCATGATTTCTCTCAAGTACAACACGGTGAAGTCTTGCCTGGTGGTGGGCATCATTCGCTGTGCTCACCTCGCCGCCATGGACGCCAACGGCTTCTCTGACCCCTACGTCAAAACGTCAGTATCACAAACACAAACTGAAATTATCAACAGTGGAAACATGCAAACCCTGTTTGTGCTGTACCTTCTCCAATGAGGCTAACTTTTAAAAACACATTTACACGACTCTTCTTTGTTTTTACTGCTTCTTGATAAAACAAATTTAATGGGGGCAGGAAATATAAAGACTGACTTCTAGTGTCCCTGATACCAGGGAATATTTCTCAACCTGAAACTCCTCGGCCTTCGCTTATTTTCTGTCAGGAATATGTAAAAGGATAACACACACACACACACACACACACACACACACACACACACACACCGATGTCCTCCACACGATGTTCGTCTGAAGCTTGACTCGGAGCGTGCATCAGGAGCCAGTCAGCCGAAGGAGGAGTCTCTTCTCTGTTGAATGCGCCGAGTCAAGTTCATCTTCAGATTCACTTTCATACTGTGGAATTCATTTCTACATCATCCTCATGTTCTGAAACATCCTCCTCTTCCTCCTCACTCCGTTTCTCTCTCTCCTCCACTGGGAGTTGCTGCTGTGGGATCGAAGCTGAGGCGAACTCCAGCTTCACCTGTATTTGTTTTACAGTTTCAATTATTACAAGATGATAAAAGTATATTTAAAATACCAGTTAAGAATAATAAACATCCACGAAAATGTTGCTTCATTTCGTATTTTATGAGACAAACATGATTTATGCCAACAAAGCTTTTAATTATAATAGATTTTCTTCATTATTTTTAATTCACTGTCGTACATTCGAGTCGCGGCCTGAGCCTCTCCGTGCACGCAGCCGTGCACACGTGCATTTGTTGCCAAGCTGAAGAAAACGACCTGACCTCAGGATTCAAAGAACCACGAGGAATGACTCGTTTTTTTGGTATCTGACCGTTAACGTTTGCACATTCACTCATCGAGTGAGTAGAGAAGAACAGTAGCTATCGATGTCCGTGAATCAAATCACATTGAATCTCGGTCTAACTTGCTAAACCTCTGTTGTTTACCTTTGACGCCAGCATCTGTCCTGCTTCCTTTAGCATGTTTTAGCAACACGTGACACATGCTCCGATCTTTGCTCTCGCTCGGTGTCTCACTCGGTCCCCATGATGTCCACACTGGGAACGCTAGTTGTCTCTTAGAACTTGCTGCTGGCTCCAGTGTGTGGTGTCTTACGTAAAGCAGGCCGTAAAGTTCCAGCACAGTACACCGGAGTTGCACAGTGCAGTTCCAGGCCTCCAGGGGGCGCTGTGGCCCGATGAGAGACATACCATTCTCCCGAACATACGTTTCGAAGCATGCTAATGGTTGCAAATCTGTTTTTTGAATGACACCTGTGGATTTACAACTCACACGTGTTATCTTCCTCTAAAGAAACCTGTCTGTCGATCCCTGTTGTTCCCCTCGACAAACATTTCTCCTCCGAACATCATACAAACGTTATTTTTAGCGGATGTACGACGCACATCCAGCCGCAGAAGTGTGGAAATGGATTAGCAGGCAGTGCTGACGTTCTGGCAGAAAGCTGTACAGTGGAGCTGTGATTATCAGCAGCATGAAAGACACACAGCACAAGAGGCCATCCACGAGGCTGCAATTTGAAGGAGAGTCCTATTTATCACACCTGAACATTTCCCCAGTCTTTCATCTGGCTGAGCAATGAAAGAGCAATTAATTTCCGACTGCGCTGTGCACAACTCAAGAACAAAAGCGCGACTCGTTTTTTCGGAGAGAAAAGAGGCACAGGCAACAATTTTCTCGACGGTTCGGGGGTTGAGAAAATCTCCCTGAAGCTTGAAGGACACGCCGGCAGATAACGGATTTACCGACGGGCTGGTGTGAGAGGGAGTAAAGGGAACATATGTGTGAGGTTGACTTGATGGTCACAGCTGTCGCCGGAACACAGAGAAGTGTCTTTGCTCGGTCGTGTTGTCTTCAAACTGAAGGTGGGAGGCAGGTGTGCATTAGTGGAGTTCATCACGAGAAGTGACAGTGTAAATGCCCTCGTTAATGGCTCCTCTGTCAATTACAAGTGCATTTCATCAAACGTACACGTCAAGATATTTTTAAAGAAAAGAATGATAATAGCAGGGCTGAAAAACTGCGGCAGTGAAATAACATTTTTCAAACCATTACATTGACTTTCACTCTCAGCTTTGTTTTGCCCGAGGGTCACTTGTCCCATTACATGACAACAATTAGGTTCCCTGCAATATCCTCATCAACAACAATTCCAGCCCCCTCTGCCCCCGGGGTAAGTTTGTGAGCAATAACCCACTTAGCCACCTCCCTGAACGCCGGCACGTTACCCTGGGAAATGGAAGCCTGTGTGCGTCCGGTGAGCACGAATCAGGAAAGACGGATGTGAGGAGCTGCTGCGATTGAAATATATACGACATCAGAATGAGCATTATTGGTTTCAAATTGTTTTAGATGCTGAACAACGCCCGGCCCGGGGGGGGGGGGGGGGGGGGGGGGGGGGGGGGTTGAGATATAAAGTGCCTCCTGCATCGTTAATGACGGCGAAGCTGAAACAAAGGTCCACACCAACACATTCTCATTAACACGTATGTACAGTGTGTCTGCTCCCAGAGCGACAGTAGCACTGACTCACTCCTGACTGCAGTCGATGCAGAGTGAGACTGATGATAACCAGCAACACCTCAACAATAAACTCTCAAGATGGATTTATTTCTGTTGCATAGTTAACAACGTGCACTCAGGTGTCAGTTTATTAGGTACACCCAACTAAAGATAAAACTGTGTGATACAACAACCTATGATAGTCAGGTTTTTTTTATATAATTCATGGATCTTGACTAAAAACTCGTTGTTTTTAGAGGTTTGGGATTAATTTACTCTCATTTTGGCGTCAAGTTGTTTCTAATATTAAGTCTATAATTATCATACATTCCATTAATGTATAATCAGTGAATTGTAAAACCATCAATTACAGAAGTGTTGTATTAGACTGCATTAGCTTCCATGTACCTAATAAACTGGGGCAGCGGAGTGTAAATGGAGAAATGTTCATTCAAAACTTAGAACTGTTGGATTCAATTACTCGTATCCTGTCATTTCTAAATTGCTGGAGACTATTTAAACTTTTGTTATGACACAACGCTGTAAATTACAGCCTCAAAAATGAGTTTAAATAAAAACTGGACATCGTTAGAGTTGGGTTTATTTCAGGGCTGTAGCATTAACTGCTTTTAGTTTTGACATGTGGGTGTAGTTTGATTTAAAATGCCTCTCAAATATCTGAAATGAAAACAAGAAACAGAAACACATAAACCAGACCAAACCCATAAAACCTCATAAGATTTAACTTGAATGTTTTATGTGAACTTCTCGCTGGAGATCTGCTCTGCAGCTGTGATGCATCACAGACATTCATTATATTTATTTCTAATCTCATTGAAAATACAACAACAAATGAAATTATCCTCTCAAAATAAATATGTATCATTAAACCTGCAGAAGGAAAAGTGTGATCAGAGGTGAAGACACGGCAACATCTGTGTTTCAGCGACAGGAAAATAAAGGAACAGGTGGAACTAAAACACGTGAACATGCGTGTGCAATGACATGCAGCAGTGTGGTTGAATGTAGGGCAGCACCACAGCACCCTCTGGAGGACAGAAGAAAATAACAGCTGCTGTCATATGAAGGTTTCAAACACTTTCACACATCAACGTCTTTTCCATCCACAGAAATGAGACACAATGAAAGTGAGTGAATCTGTGACGAGTCTCTCCTCCCTCTCTGCTCCTCCCTCTCTGCTCCTCCCTCTCTGCTCCTCCCTCTCTGCTCCTCCAGGTACCTGAAGCCGGACGAGAACAAAAAGTCAAAGCACAAGACGGCCGTGAAAAAGAAGACGCTCAACCCTGAGTTCAACGAGGTACAGACCTCATCATCCCTGTGTTTATTTCTGCGTTTGCTCGTGTCGAGTGTTCATGTGACCTTGTTTACGTGCTGCTCGACCTCCGTGACCCTGGACCTACAGGAGCAGGTCTGGTTTGTTGATCCTTCATTAGAAGGCTTCTGAAGCTGCAGGTGGACGTTAGTAGAAAACATGATGAACAACACCTCCTCCTATCACCTGTGAATCTCTGAAGCATCTCAGATTAATGCTGAAGCATATTGATGCAGCTTGAGATGAGATCGTAGATTGTTGATAGATAGATAGAAAGAAAGAAAGAAAGATAGATAGATAGATAGATAGATGTCATGAATGTTTGATGTATGCAGAGTAAAACTTTAGATTTGAAGGAGCTGTAAAGCTGCACTAATCAATATTTGTACGTCCTCGAGGGGTAAAATTACCACGTGTAATTCTTGCTCATGGAGACAAACCCACATAATTGCTAGATGCTAAAACGCTGGAATTATCATCCATCGCTTCCCCTCAACTCTTCAGAGTCCTCCAGCATCTTTTAGCTGCCAGAGCAGCTGAGCCTCACAGCTGAACGCCTCCTCTGTAACCAAAACCATTGATTGTAAATACTGTTGAAATCAGAAATGCATTTGTGTTCCCCTGAGGACCGAGCCACGTTTTTTCTGAAGAACGATGCCAAATGTGTTCTGGAGTCTGAGCAGCCTCTCGGCTCTTTGTGCCACAGGGCAGCTTGGCTCTGAGGCGCACACCTGTATGCAGACGGTCGGCTGCGGCCAAACGCGCACGCAGGCCAGCGGCTTGACATTTCCTCTGACATTCTTTGCGCCCGTATTTCCTCCGTCACCTCTTGGCCTTTTGTCAGAGCCGAGCGGGGGGGGGGGGTCGTCCTTCCAGATAAAGGCATTGATTTCACAGAGGTGGAGCAGCAACCTCGACTGAACCGAACGTGGTGATACAGAATAAAAACTCTCATTCATCGGACAGTGGACTTTATCGATTACACCGTCATTCTGTTCATGTTACGTTCTCCTCACTCACTCACTCACTCACTC